TCAGAACGGCCAGTTTTCTCCACAATCCAAGTGATTGCTTTTGTTTGTTTTTAAGAAGATGTTCATTCAATCCTCAGACCATGCCCTATACCTTTTGTTGTTGTTGTTTTTGTGTGTGTAACCACCATGGCCTCTGCATATCTTTAATATACTACTCTATATCTTGTGTCATATGGGTTTTTATAACTTACACTTTAGCAATATATCAAGCCCAAGAACCAAATGTGCCTTATTTATTTTTACTTTTTACTGTTTAGCTCAAGAAATGGACTGACTAAACAAATTCAGGATGATTGCATCAAAGAATAAACAAGACTGATGTATTTGGAACAGGATGCAGGGCAAAGGCATAGAAGAGTATTCGTGTGTAAATAGGCCTCAGCAACTGGCTTGTTTGGGTTGTTAGCTGGTAAGGAAGGATAAACAAAAAAACTTTAGTTTGCAAGTAGCTGTACAGGGCATACTAATGAGAACAAACGTTAAAGGAGGATTTGAGTCTTGCCTTGGGGACATATGGTTTTTGAGATGCTTTTTTTTTTTTTTAGTTTTGTAATGTAGTCTCCAGCCGATTTTCCAACAGTAGTAAAGTTCTTTAGTACTTAAAAACATTTTCTGAGAATATTATCACATCAATTTATTACAAATACCCATACTTTGGTAAGATATCCCTAAAGGTGCAATAGTGGCACTCACATCTAGGCGGTAACCAACACCTGTCTGATTGTACTTAAGGCCCACTCAACAGGAATGAGATCATTCATGTTACTGGAAAGCTAGCCAGTTAGCCACGGATAGTGAAGTCATGTGTCTTGGAGGAGAGCCTACTACATACACATTAATAAGCAGTATAATTCTGAAATACTTGTCCTTGTACTCACAGATAAGTGTAATTCTCATTCCCCATCAAAGAAACTTCTCTTTGCTGCACATGGAAAGAGTCTCTTTCTCATTACAGAAAACCACATGGTCAAAATGCAGAGAACAATTAACCATTGGGCACCCAGCCCAAATAGATACATCTATACTACCATTGCACGCCTAAGGTCAGGAAAGATATGGAAGAGGGGACAGAGGACCAAGAAACTAACTATGTGGTTGTGCCTCTGAGAAATAACAGTGAATGAACACCTCAACAGAGTGGTTGTTTAAACAAGACCTGGATGATCACACCACCAATAGACATGCTGAAGTGGAGGGGAAAATTTTTAAGAGCCTCCAACCCTAGACAAAGAACTACAGGCAACTAATGACTAGATATGAACCCCTAATTTTTCTAATAACAAGTGGTCAGAATATACCAATAGTATATACAAACAACACTAAACAGATTCAACAGGTTGTATCCATATATTTATGCATTTGTGTATATGTGACAATACTAATTGGGGGTGAGGCAGTTGTGAATTTGGAAATGAGGGGGGCATAGGAAGAAGGGTTGGAAAGAGAGGATGAGGAAATGATGTAATTTTATTTTGTTTTTTAAAATTACAAAAAGCAAATCCATACTAATAGTTGAATTCTGAGATTTTTTTCTGTATCAGTTATATATCCATTTTATTTTTTCCCTCAAAAGTCATTACTTCAGTTTTAGATTGATGAATCTAAAGTGTGTGTGAGTGTGTGTGTGTGTGTGTGTGTGTGTGTGTGTGTGTGTGTTTCTGGGGATTGACACTAGGGCCTTGTGTACACTTGGAACTGCCAACAGTCCCATTGCTGAGCTACATCTTCAGTCCAAAGTTATTTTGTTTGTTTTTCTGTCCTCATTGCGTTTAGATACTAAACTTTTGAGATGTGATGGAGTAAGAGGAAAAAACATTATTTCTATGCTCTATCATAGTGTTTATTCAATTAGGTCAAATAACAAAGTGTGTAGTATTAAGACTAAAGAATCATGGAAAAAACATCCCTAACAGATAACTGAACCTCCTTCCTCATTTATTTCCATGTCTGCATACCAAGGCAACCTGTTGGGTCTTACTGCCAGATGCTTTCTGTTGCCTGAGTCAAAAGTTTGTCATGCTTGCCAGACATTAAAGCTATTACATAAGGCATACACAACTGATTAGGCTAATTAATAACCACCCAGCAATTGTTGTGGGTCTGCCGTTTCTGTAGCTAGATTTGGGCTGGTATTTCTGAATAGTTTCCAGGGCTCTGCTTGTCACAGTAGGTGTTTACCACACAGTGAAAGCCACCAGCAGAAACCTCTGTTGGGCAAGAGTTCCCAGGATCCTGTTTGTCCTCTTTGATAAACACTGGAAAATTAAGATTCCATCCCCTCCCATAAAAAGAGACACCTGATTTGCTAACCAACAGGGACTTTTTAGTCAAGAGGGATGAACAACATTTGGAGACAGCTTATAGATTCACGGTGACAGTCTATTCTCTTTTGATGCCTTGACAGGCAAAAGAAGCTCTCCAAGACTTTCAGTTTTACCTGTGACATGTTCACAGCAGCAGGTTTATTACGTCTGCAGTAGAATTCTGACCACAGAGCAATGAGATGTAAAGTTCTCACTGAAATTCTTATACTAACTCCTTACAGTATTCTTGGCTGTGTGTGGAGACAGTTTAATTGAGTACCAGAGGATAAAACTCTCGCACCAAAATTATTGAGGTTCTAATACTACTGTTTCATATTTTTGCTATTATTTTAAAGTGAACCTTCCTTTTTTTTGGCTAATCTCATAAAATGAACATGAAGCAAAAAATGAGAAAGAACAGATTTTTAACATTTCATTATGTGATACCTTAGAAAGATTATAAAATGTCTGTATCATCATGAGAGACCGTCTGAGTGAGGTACACATGCTTCCAACTGCCATAAGGAGTGATCATGTCCTTGATCAGTTAGTAAGTTTGGAGACCCTGCGCACAGGGGTCAATTGAGAAGGATGACCTCATCAACTCCATAGTGTATCTGCAAAGGCAAATGCTCCTGGAAGCCACTTCCATAGAAATCAAGAGACTGAGCATGGATTTTGGCACTCAGGAATTAAATGACATCATCTGTGGGAGACGCACATGGTTTGCCATCAAGACAGTGTACATTAGGAGTAAAATCAACCGAAAGCAATCTGTGTATGATCACTGCAGGAAAACTATAACTTCATAAGTGAAATATTTTACCTTGTCATGCTTAAATTTTTCTCTTGTAAATTAAAGATAGCTTTTGCTAGGAGTAATTCTAAATCTGTATTCTACTGCTGGTGTTTCAAAGAATCTTTTGTGTGTGTGGTTTTCAAATCCCAAGACTATTAGTACGAACCAGCTGACACTGAGATCCATGAAACACAATCATGTGGGAAGGACATCCTCTGGTTTTAATTGGAGCTGTGCTCTAAGTCTTTGGAGGACAGTTTCTTTTTAGTCTTTCTGAGCACTAATGCTGGAAAAGAAAGGCACATGCCCTTCCTCCAGTGTACTAATTGAAGACATGTTATATAAACACAAATAAGTAAACATTTCCTAAAAGAGGTTAAAAAATACATGCCATTTTTAAAGTGCCAATTTTCTGTGAGTTTGGTGACCACTGGCTTGCTTTTTTGGACACACCATGATCCTGGGACGGTTTGTTGGTTTTTTTTGTTTTTGTTTTCTCCTCTCCCAAACTACATGAGCTTGTATTTCTAAGCATTTAGTTTTTATAAACAAGACAAGTACTCTATGGGTGGTATATTTTTTTATGGAAGTAATTAGCAGACACACAGTATACTACAACTTACAATCTGTTATGCAGCAACATGGCCAAGTTTCAAGTAGGTTGTTCAAAACTTAGATGTTCCCCACCATTGTGGTCAGCTCTCACTTCTCTGAGATTTAGTGTCTCTGGTCACATGAAAAGATGATGTGGCCTGGCAGTGGCGGTCCATACCTTTAATCCCAGCACAGGGTGGAGGGGGACACAGAGGCAGGCAGATCGCTGTGAGGTTGAGGCCAGTCTGCTCTACAGAGCAAGTTCCAGGACAGCCAGGGCTACACAGAGAAACTCCCACCTTGAACTCCCATTCCCCAGAAAAGACAGAAAGAAAAATGAGGTTAATCTATCAGCCAAGCATAGAGAACAGCCACTGTCTTAGCAGCTTTGGGTATTTGTGAGGACCTGGAGACCAAGATGGAATGAAGACTACTAAATAAATACACAGGATCAAAACTCAACTGTAGCTATCATCTCACTAGTCAACTGACTATATGTGCTCTGGGCTTAAGGGGAAACCAACCAAGAGAGCAAGTAGAGTGAATCAAGATCTGATGGGCAGGTCAACTGGGTACCCTTCACCTGAGTGTCCACCTCATCTCCTGAGATCTGCATCCACACAAGGGATGACAGGGAGCTCACGTGTCAATTGTGGTGTGTCTGCTTCTTCTGAACCGAACCATTCCTTCCTAGAGGCCAATGGGAGACCTGAACAACCCAAGCAGCTAAGAAACTGCAAGACTCAAGAATCCCAGAAAGCCGTTGGATACTGAGATGTCACTGTGGAGGTTATATCAAGCAGTGACAACTGCTGGGGAGAGGAGACTCTACGGTACAGTGTCCTGCAAACTGAGCAAGGGACATGGGAATGCAGACTCTGATTTATCACCCATGTTGGGATGGGCTTTTCAGTCATGTAGATACCTTTGAACCACAAGTTCCTGTGGCTAAGTTTTCCCTGATGGTTGTGAAGGAAATTCTATAAAGTCATCGGGATTTCTGGTGGAAGGGAGGTGTGAAGTCTGTTAGAGAAGGCAGTCCTGTTCAGACTTCCCCATCTTTGTGCCTTTATCCACCCAAGATCCTGGGTTTTCCATGTTGGAACACTAACTTGTAGCACTTCATTTCACAAAGCTTATGTGTATATCAGCTTTTGGCATATTTTTTTGCCCTTCTGGAATATTTTTTTCTTGCAAAACAACACAGAAAATACGTTAAAGGTATAAGATAAACAAATAAACAAACAATTAAAACTAAATCTAACAACCCCGAACTACAAAACTCTGAAAGCCACTACAAATACCTCATGGAAATGACATCCACAATTGCCCTGCAGAAATTCTTTGTGTCGTCCCATTGTGATAGTGAACGTGTCTACTACTTCATAGCCATAGTTTTTGGCAGCTTCCAGAATGCTCAAATTTTCTTTATGTAAGTTTTGTACTTCGCTCTGTATGAACAAGCAAGACACATAAGGTTTTGATTAACAAACAATTATTTTATGAGTTAGTAACTCAAACAGACATGTAAATTTCATCTTCTTTTACCAAGATTGGTTGTATTGAGAGATGAATTTGATATCAATTTTTAAAATAAAAATGTGCTCTAATTTTTTCTTAAAACATCAGCATAACTATTTATGTATTTATGATGCAACAGTAACTCGTCTTTACCTAAAACAATTAAACTTATTGCTTGTAAATGTATTTAAAATTCTCAAATTGAAAAGTGATGTCTTAAACACTACAAGGCAGACCTTCATCTACTTGGATTCTCACTTGTTAAGCCACTTGAATTTTAACTGGCACTTGAGTTTTGTTTAGCTTCTTGCTAAGGGACAGAATGGAAGGGTACATACTGTGTGGTCTATGCTTTTAAGACACAACACTAATTGGAGAAATGGGTATATCCACAGTCAGTAAGTCCTTTGTCAGGGGAAAATACACCAAGAGCAATAACTGCTAAGAGAAGTGGAGCACGTAGACCATGACACAGAAGATTCCAGAACAGTTTTGACTGAGGTTTGCTACTTGGACATGGAGGAGGAATATGCTTTGGGGAGAGCAACAAAATTGGGTGAGGGTTTCATCTGTTGCCTGTCTGGATCACATTCCCTCACCTTGCCTGCTGTGTTGCGGGCAATGACTGAATCTGGCTGAGTTGTAGTTTAGGTTCACTCTGTCAGGGAAGGACAGCATCACCAATTACTCTAGTTCCAAGACCTTCCCTTGCCCTGGTTAAGTTTCTCAAAACCGCCCTTTAATCTAAGCCTCTCCCTCCCCAGTCCAGTCTGCTTGCTCTCCTGTCACATCAGACACTGTGTCAAACAGTCTTCAACACATTAGTGATAAAAACTGAATGACATTCACTAGGCTGTGTTGCAAATGCCTCCTGCCTGCTCCTTAACGCATTTCTGCAGCACATCCTTTTGATTCCACCAATCCTCTTGTGATGTCTTAGAAGAGTCTACCAGCTAACACAGGGAAGGAACTGTCCCCCCTTCTCCATTTATGAAAGGTGACAGGAATGTTTGATTTTTTTTTCATTAGAAAAAGGCAAACAAATGCTTTCATTTGTTAAAGCAACAGCAAGACAAAAGAATTGGTACATATCATATTTTTTCTGTTGTCTCTGCTGGGCTTGCATGCTTATTTTAATCTAGCACTCAAAGAAGAGTGTTTTCTTTAAGATAAAGTCAGTGAATAGAAAAACCTCATAAAGAGACAGCCACACAGGAAATGACACTTAAGTTAATGCTTTATCAGCCCTAGGAAGTTACCCAGGTGACAAGGTGGTAGAATAGGATCCATGAATGGGAAATACTGATTTATAGGCTTAGGAGTCACTGAGAGCATGGCAAGCTTAGTGTGCCTCTGTGTGTGTGTGTGTGTGTGTGTGTGTGTGTGTGTGTGTGCGTGCACACACAGGCTTGCACAACCCTGTCCTCATGTACATGTATACCTATGCTCTGGTAAGAATGGGTGAGTCTGCAAAGGAGGTCAGAGGCTGTCTTGAACAGCTAGGAGAGTATATGATAGAGTTCTGAACAATGTGCTGTCTTCACTTGCTGGGTTCCTTTCTCCTTTCTGTTTTTTGCCTCTCTTCTTCCCATTTTTTGTCTTCACTCTGTTAACAAAGACTGATGAGCTATGTCACAGCTCTGGGGGCAGGCAGAATCTTAACACAGGGTCTACAACAGAGCAAGTGCAGTAGATGAAAGGTTGGGAGCTAATAACCTAAATGCAAGTGAGGGTCACAAGTCCCATGGCTGTGAGGAACACTGTCAGAATAGAAATATTGTGGAGCTACTGGAGTCGCAGGAATGAATTGCAGTCCTGACAGGAAGCCTTTGAGCAACACTAAAACGGTCCCTGTTCCTAACTGACAGCAAAAAAATATAAAAGTCCCCCCTCCTCATCCCATTCCCAGTTGTCCTAAATCCTTCTATTCACTAGAAGTTAATGTCCCAATATAGTTTAAGCTCCTCAAACCCAAGATGGCCTCACTGTGGTGAATTTGGAGTTTTGACCTTGACCACAGTTCTCTGCAATATCGTAGTTGGCAATCAGGAAGGGAAAGTTTCAAGTAAGGAAAGGGGGATCCCACTCTGTGCTTGAAAAAGCTAGACTGGCTCAACACAGACACAAAGGCAATGATTACGTATTACATGGACAGTCTGCCCCTGAACCATGATTCTGAACTTGCATGTAAACTGGGACTAGTCTTTGTGCTGGAGTAAGGTTCTCTGACCTTCAGATGTTGTCCTTTTCTGTTCTCATTTTTAATTAGTGCTGAGACAAATTTATTATATTTAAGAACTGGCCAGAGGCACCTGATGCCTTTCATTTATGGATATCCAACTGTTGGAAAAACAATGCTATCATTCATATATACATATATATATATCGTTCATATATATGATGTGTATATCATATATCTATCTATATATCTATATCTATATCTATCTATCTATCTATTTATATAATCAGATATTGCTTCCCAAAAGATTCACTGATATGGAAAATTTCATTTGTGGTTTCAGCATAAATCTGAAGAAGGGAAAGTCTCTTATTTTAAACTCCAAAGGTGAACACACAAGTTCTCTTCTCTATGAATCTAGTGCTGTTTCCTACAGCTTGTTTTTTTTTCCTTCTTGAACTGAGTACATTATTTATAGCACATTTATGATCTGTGGTCTCCTGGTCTTCAGGAACAGTTAGGATGCATTTGAAATCATATTTCATCAGGATATTATTTTTATGAAGGCTGATGAATATTGTAGAGTTCCTGTTGGATTTTTTGCTGTCGGGGATTCATAAATTCATGCAGTCTAGGAGAAATGGGCTTACCTGTGTTAGGAAATGCACTCCATCTACTGGCAGGTGAAATCCAATCCCCAAAGTTTTGATGATAACTAGGATATTGAGCAAATTTTCCCTGAGTGAAATGATCAGAATATTAAAGTCAAAAACTTCAGTTGCATTTCTACATGTTTGTTAATTATGCAAACATATATGATAGAATCATTTTAGAATGTGATTATTTGCATATAGGAAAAAACTCCTATTTTATTTGTCATGTTGACTTTCTGTAGAAAGAATTTTGTATTAATGGCTAATAATAAAGAATAATAATGTCTTAAAACATATTAATCACTTTGTTTAATCTGAAGAACCACTTATACAGCAATGAGACTTTATTAGACAATGTTCTTAGTACTTTCAATGTATATGTGTGTTTGTTCTGAGACAAGGTCCCTGCTGGATTTGAATTCACTATCGTGTTACATTAACCTCCTAAACATTTGAATTACAGACATGTGCTACCACAGCAGAAAAAATAAATAGGTTTTGATCTGGAGTAATTTTAAATTAGGGTACTAAGGATCCATGATTGAATATGAAATTATTTTGAATATTGTTTTCTAAAAATGCCCTGGATGAAGTTTGGCTAAATACATGGTACTTTCAAAGAAAAGAATAAGACATGGAAGACAATAGTTACAGAGTTACCTCTTTAAAACCTTGTGAATAATTTGCAGGTGATTGGAATTAAGCCACTGAACACCACCAACAACCAATACTGTCTGGTCAGTATTCTCTAAGGGATGTGATCTGAAATCCAGAAAGAAAAACAACACATGTTGCTTTAGAACAGATGGTAAACATTTTAACTGGATTGCCTCACATTTCAATGAACCATGTCTGGCTTCCTGATCACAAGACTTCCTTGTCATTTGCAGCTCATTTTCAGCCACATTAGTGGACATCTAAGCTTTTCAGCACATTTGATATACAGTGTGCAATTACGACAGCACAGTGGTGGCATTTTGCCATTCATAGTAGTCCCATTGTACCTTTGCAAGAGATGTTCAAGTGCTTTCTCAAATGTTGGTCTCAATGAAGGGCTTATCCAAAACTGGGGGTAGTAGGAGTAACTGATCAAAGTCTTTCCCCCATTGACGCCGGGGTAGAGTTTAGTGCCATGCACCTTCTGCCACTCCTGCAGTGTCTCATTCAGTCTCTCAATAAGATAGTACATCATTCCTCTGTTGGTGGAATCTCCAATGAAAAGGATCTGTAAAGAAAACATATTTGCTGTCAAGTCAGACATTTGCATAGTATATAATACAATGCGCACAAAATTACTCTTCTAACTGAAGAACAGCTCTTCAACCTTTAGAAGCATCCTCTATCTTCCTCATCATAATCGCCCCCAAACCTGTCCACTTATTTCTTTCCTATTGTTAGTAATGACATCATCTCCTGATCTGCTAATTAGTGTGTGACACTTCCATTTCATTTTATTTTCAGTCTTCCTCTCTCCCTTATATCCATCACTTTAATTATAGTCATCTAACCAGCTCACAAGTCTTATTGATATAAAGATCCATGGACTGCCGCAGAACTCTAGGGATCCTTGGATTTGCAATCTTTGTTTGATAAATCTGCAAACTGAGAGCCCACAGAAATAGGCCCATGGAAATCATGCCATTACTTAAAAGGAAGGAAGATAGTAACCCGGACTGGCATCTTTCTGAGCAGGGTTTCACACCCCACTTTGCATATCCCAGTGGCATTTGTTTTCCAGTGAAGTCTGCCGCACTGCCAGCACAGCCCAACTTCAGGCTTGCTCTCCCTCAAAGCTGTACTATTGTACACGCACCGCTCACATCTTCTTCATTGCACTCCAATTCACTCAACATTATCTTATTTGCGTGCTCAAAACCGTATTCATTCACCATTCCCTACGGAGTCAATTCTGAACTATTTTAGGTTCAGCTAGCAGTTACTGAGATTTTATTGCTTAATAGTTTCTGTTATGCGGAGATTGCCACAGACGGGAAATTTGAGACTTGGGAAGACTGGCGGTCATAAATCTGGTAAATAGGGATCACAAGACTCAAGCCCAGGTTCTCTGACTTCAAGTGCAGGTCAATGGCCCACCTTCTCAGTGCGTCTCCTCATATTAGACTTAGGCTTTCTCATGGAACGTGATTTGTATTCTACAACATCTGTTTTTCCCTTGTACTAATCCATCTGCCTTGAGAGTTACTCCCTGTACAATCGCACCTGTCAGCCGTCAGAACTGACATAAATGACGCTCCTACCAAAGGTCTCCTCTAGTGCCCCAGCTAGAGTGACTCATTCTGCAGTCTATGATTCCATTAAATTTTAGTTCCATTATAGATTTTATCATGACGTGATGGCTGTTTGCATCTGTGTCCTTGCCCCATGTCTTATAAAGAAGTATTTGACAGATAAATGTGAAGTCTGCTTTCACTCTTAGTGTGGAATGTACTTAGTGAATTGAAAGTAGCAGGGACTTTCACTGTAGATAGTTCCTTTGAATGCTTTGGATAAGGTTTAATCCATTCTTCAGTTTTTTTTCTCTCTCAGAGAGTTGCTTTTTTCCCCCCTCGGTGATGCACATATTTCCTCTATTATGTTCAGAACAGCATACACTGCCGTCCGTTCTAATTGTACCACCCATAGTGAATTTAGTAAGAATCTGAAAAGGCTTATACTTCTCACAGTTTGCTTAAGAGCCTCCATGAGTGGGCCTAGAAAGCTGCTCCAATTAGTCTTCAGATATGATACTGTTGTGATAAACATGGTTGCTAAATAGAATACAGCAGATCTCTCATTGGTGGGCATGGTCAAATTCCATTGGGGTGATAAGATTCTAGCATAGTAAAATAGTGAGATAAATCAAATTGATTCTTACAGGCTTTATCTCTGGTCTTATAGTCTAGATTTTTAATTTTTGGAAATGATTTACTTTTAGTGGTGGAGATGGAACCCTGGCCTTCACTCACACTAGGCGAGCATTCTGTCACTGAACTGTGTTTCCAGTCCTTTGATTACTTTCTATTTTGAGACAGGGTCTAACTTGCCCAGGTTGGCCTTGAACTTGCTCTACAGGCTAGTCCTAAAGCTCATGAACTTCTTGATTCAGTTTCACAAATATCTTGGATTGCAGGTTTGTGGCAACAGGTTAAGGAGAATTCTTACTTTTCAAGAGGACTTTCGAACCATTAGAAAAACTCATCAGGAAGTAGTGATCACTCATGTACTCCTGTATTAGTTTGTTGGGGCTGTTTACCACAGACAAAGTTACTTCAATGACAGAAAATTCACCTCTGTACATTTCTGGAAGCTGGAAATACACATCCAAGGGTCTGACAGAACTGTTTTCTTGTGGAGGACTCTCCAGGTGGTGGTTGGTGGCCTTCTCTGTCTTCCTGCGGTCTTCAACTGTGCCTCTGTGTCTTAATTGATCACTAAGACTCTGGCCATACTGGATTTGGTTGAACATGCATCTGACCTCCTTTTTTCCCATTTGTCTCTTCAACAGCTTTGTGTTTGTACTTTCTGGGTAACTAGGCATTAGAAGTTGAGCTCAGCATATGAATTTGATGGAAATAATCACTAAACTAAGAATAGCTTATGCAGAACATTTGTGGTTATTGTTTTACAACAGGATCTCTATAAAGTCCTAACTGGCCTCTAACTCATGATCCTCCTGCCTCACCCTTTCAAATGCCAGCTAAATATGCTAAAGATTTCTCATTGCTTCTTTTCATTTCCATATTAAAATTAGTCCTTCCTGGGCAGTGAGCCTTGCACTGGGTATCCCAAACATTGCATATCTCTAATGTGGACTACAGTGAGATATGGAAGTTTAGACAAGTCAAAGAAATGTCTTATTAATACAAGAACAATGCCTGCACACCTAGATTTTCAGTCTTTCCACGTGGTTATATCTAAAGCTCACCAAGGCACACCAGAAGCAAATTAGCTTCAAAACTCCTCTTTAGTAACTAGGTAATATTTTAAGTAGATAGGGTTCATTTCCTCATGTGTAAAACTGAGGAAATAACAGCACCATAGGGCTTGAGTGAGATGTCAAGTACTTATTATTGGCAGTCTGAGAGTACAATCTGAACTCATGCTGGCATCAAAGTATAAGAACGATGGGTAGAACTTTTTTTGTTTGTTTTGTTTTCAGGGCACATTTCATGGTGCTTGAAACTCATTAGCACACAGAGAAACATGGTAGAAGTAATACGTTTCGAAGTCCCAGCTGGCTCTCTTCATCCTAGTCAAGCCACCAACCACTATGTGCAACAGGCCTGAAAAGCAACATGCTGGCACTCTTACCAGGACTCTGGAGTCTCCATAGTGGGTTGGTGGTCAGGGAGAGCTACATGCAAACTGGTAGATGCTGTCTGCTACTTCACTAGCAAACAAGATACTATGCTTTAATGCAGGTTCTAAATAGCTGTCAAGACATAGGCTTGGGTTAATGTATCTAAGTGTTTCCATTTATGAAAGATAGAAATGATAAGGCTCTAACTAAAATATTCAGCGGTGATCTTAAAGTTGTTCTGTTGATGGAAAGGTTTTGCCAGAGGTAAGTTGATATTCTTCGTAAAAATATATACCTAACTTCAAAATGTCAGCTCATTCAGTGCACAGAGCACAATTAAATGACATCATGAACTACATAGCTTTTCAGTCACGTGATTTACATTCAATTTTTATGTGCTTAAGATGATTCAGTTTTGTCAAATTATTAAAGGAACTAAATTATTTTGAAGGACACTTCCTATTTTAAAAGGTTTATATTATCATAGCAAATAGTTGTGACTGTCTATTGAGGTGACAAAGAGTCTCCCATGAAAACTATCGCCTTACACTGGTGTGCAAAGGGACTGGTTGGCATAAATAATCAAAGAGGAAAAATGTGATCTTTAAATACAAATGCCCAGTAAGCATTTATAACAACAATCAACTTTGATATGCTCAAGTAACTAGTCCCTACCCCCAAGTTAAAGAGAATTTAAATACTCAATGACCTTATGGGGATCTAGCAAACAAACCACTTTATATATTACTAAGTGCCAGGCTGGAGACCTTTTTTTGGTCTTTATTCTTTTGTTATACTCTATTTAACAAACTTTTTGGTGATATGTTTTTATTTTATATGCATTTGTATTTTGGATGAATGGCTGTCTGTGTGAGGGTGCCAGATTCCTTGAAACTGGAGATACAAACAGTTGTGAGCTGCCCCGTGGATGCTGTGAGTTGAGCCCTGGTCCTTCGAAAGAAAAAGCCAGTGCTCTTAACCATGGAGTCATCTCTCCAGCCCCCTTTCTTTTGTTATACTTTTAAGTCTGCAGTGACTTGAACTTTTCTGATTGGCACAAAGGTATCCCTACATTGGCCAGATGGGTGAATTAAAACTGTTGCTTAAGTTGCAAGCCCAGTCTTGATTGACTGACCCATCTCTCCAGCCCTACAACTGTGATGTTTTGTTTACCCAATGCCACTGCGATTCTTTGGAGCCTTAAGGTTGAGAAAGAGGGTTCTCAACAAGGCAAGTGGAAGTTCATCTGTCATATGCAGCTGAGACGGGTGAGATGGTTAATGAGATTTAGGTCATGATGAAAATCTTGCTCAACAAAACATTTCTGTGTGAATTTTGATTTGGTTATAATGAATGAATGTTTTCCAATTATGCATTTTAATTATACTGGCTACACACGTGCAGTCAAATTGCTGTTTGGGGTAAAAATAAACGTAATTTAAGCAACCATTCTGAATCATACAACATTGGGAAAGAAAAGGAAAATAAATGTGTAATGGCAGGTGGATTTGTTACTTTTTTCTTGGACAAAATGGTTTGTCTCTACTGTCATTTTGTCTGGCCTGTTGCTGGAAGAGGGCATCATGCGCAAGTCACCCTTAACTGGGGATAAATGGAGAGGGACTCTGATGTCTTTTAATTGACATCAATTTTTGAGACTTACAAGCAACAACAAATTGTGCAATATTCATGGAATTCATGTCTTACTCAAGAAATATTTTAAATCAGTCACACTTCAAAATTTTAAACACCTTAATGTGCAAGACCATATATAACTTTAAAACACTACTTTAAAATGTACATATTTACCAATGGAATAAAATTAAAGACCCAGCCCAAAATTTCATGCACCTAAAGACAGCTTATACCTTGACAAAGAAGACAAAAATACACACTGGAGAAAAGACAGCATCTCCAATGAATGG